CCCTGCAACTGAGGAATCTTAAATTGTTAAGTTTCATTTGTGTTGGTGAATTCCGGCTTCTGATCTTTCTAATCAAAAGAGTGACTACCATCCCAGTGGGATATATTTTTCCACTTAGCTATTAGTGGATATATTTTTCCACTTAGTTAGTTCCTAACTGATTTAGGAACCTAGGCCAGAAATACAATTTCACAGAAGGAGAAAAAAGAGGGCTATGGTTTTAAACTTGCCTCTAGGTACAAATCCATCATTTCACACCCATTTTTATGCGAATCTAATATCCAATACGCTAATGAACTCTTTTCTCAATTACTTCCACTAATTAGTTATCTATTCTTATTCTGCCAAAATCCCTATCCTTTTACCATCTACTCATCAAATCCAGCGACTGCACCTCCCTTGAGGTTTCCCTCAGACACTTAGGAGATGGTTAGGGCAACCTGATGTCTCCTCTTCCATTCTCCAGATCCAGTTTACAGCAAACACCAATGTTACCATCAAGTGAAATACGCTTTTTAAAATGATCAGGAGAGAGGGGCTAGGGATACAGCTCAGCGGCATAAGCGCCTGCTTGGCAAGCAACAAGGTCTTGAGTTCAATTCCCGGCATCCAATCAGGAGAACAGGGCACAGTGGCATACACCTGTGATCCCAGCACTCGGATCCTTGTGAGTTCAAGGCCTGCCTGGGATCCCTAGTTCTAGGCTCCCTAGTTAGTTGAAGGTCAGCCTGAACTACATATCAAGACCCTATCTCAAAAAATAAAAAACCAACACCAAAAAGAAAAAAAAAAAAAAAGTCACACAAGCACACACAGAAAATTATCGGAAGAGACTCCCGGGCTGCATCTGGGAATCGTGGTCTAGGTCCGTGCTGCTAGGCCAACAGCAAATGCCACTAGTTACTCCTACAATCTTGAAAGGCACTGTGCTTCCCTGAGGTGAAGCACCATCCCTTTCCTAACATTGGAACTCCAAGATTTTTACAACCAAATCTACTTCCTGTCCTTCCCCCACCAGCATCTTCTGCTCATTTTTCACCCTAAACTGAGGTTTTCTCTAGAGCTCCATGGTGATGCCAAGACAGCCAAATACATTCCTTAAATAGTCCACCTACTCGCTTCTTTCCGGGGAAGCGCACACAATCGCTGATTTTATTTATTTTGGAAACTGCCATCAGGCACAGTGTTCCGTGCTTGAAAGGGCATTTATCTACTTTTATCCTTTAAAATCTTGTGAGGCGGGATTCGTATCCCCATTTTACAGAGGAGACAAGCTGAGGCTTAGTAACCTGTCCAAGGTCATAGAGGTCAAGAACTGGAATCAAAGTTTGACCCCAATGCCCCGTGCCCTTCACCCTCACGGAGGGCATTCCGTATCTCTTCACGTCATCCTAAACACCTTCTCTGTAGTCTTATCCAGTCTGTGGCCGCGGAGGGTCCAGTTTCTGAGGGCGGTTATCCCTTAAAAGCTAAGCCTTTGACAAGAACCAGCCCCCATTCCTGCTTTTCTAGCCTCCCACCCGGCACTGCTTGCCAAAGACCCTCGTCGCAGCCCCTCCTCTAGGCCAATTCAAACTTCCCCTCGGCCCCCTGAGCAAGCACCATCCATACTTAAAAGCCACCTTTTTTCCACCTCCAAAGCGAGGCTCAGAGGGCAGTGCACGACCGGACCCCTTCCCCGGGTCCGCGCCTCCGGAGGAAACCGGGGTGAGGGGAGGGGGCGGAGGAGACCAGCGCGTGCCCTTGGGGGACCCGAGAGGAGGGTGCGGAACGGGGCACCCCAGGAGGAGAGGGCGCCGAGGAGAGGGGGGAGCGGAGCGGAGAAAGGCAGCCGGCCCGGGAGCAGGAAGCGCGGAGCCGCGGAGGAGGAAGGATGGATGCGGACCGGCGGGCGCCCGGGACCTGCGCGGCGCGGCGCGGCGC